ACAGAACATATACAAGAGAAGCGCAAGCTCTGTGTTGAATGATGGAAACGGGGAATAATCGTTGCGCCTCAAGTGGTCTGGCAGAGAACTAATATCCTATATATGTGTAGGTTTGAAGCATGGACGCAATAAACCTACACATAGAGAGAGAGAGAGAGAGAGAGAGAGAGAGAGAGAGAGAGAGAGAGAGAGAGAGAGAGAACGTTTACAGTAATTTTAATGTCAAAAGGACATTAAAGACATCATTTTGATATCAGAACGACGACAAATAACGGTAGTTCTTCTCTGAGGGCGACTTAATCAATGATTGAGTCAATCAGTAGTGTATTCAACAGCAAGACTGTATATCGTTCTTAACCTCATCTCTTCGTGATATACTTCTATCTCTACGTTCTTATACTTAACTGTGATAAAAGTAATGAAAATCTCCTATCTGTAATAGTAATTCTGCTGATTGAGTTAATCGTCGATTAAGTTAATCGGCGTTGGTAACAGTCGACCTGAGTGTTCGTCGTATGTTGATAGCGGTTGATGGCGTTATGGAAGCACAATAGAACAATGGCCGGTTGCTTTGGCACGTTGTGGTTTAAGGTTCGTAACCGGTCGGCCATTATCGCCACACTTCGGATTCAGTTCCGAGCCGCGCAAGCGCAAACGCAAATTTTATCGCCACACTTGTATGGCACGTCCGCCATGTCTGTTTCCCCTTTCCCGATCCCGTTTTCACCCCTGTGACGCGAACCGGATCACGATTCGAGGGGCGGTGTTCTTGGATAAAGATCCCGCGGTCGATGCAAGGCGTTGGCTTCGGCGATCGAGAGCGCTCGACGGAGTCAGAGAAATCTCGACCCCCTGTCTAATGCCGAAGCCGGTGCTGGTAGATGGTGCAAGGATGCGCTAGGAGGCCCCCGACTGCCGAGAGCGCTCGGCAGAGGCAGAGAAATCTCGACCCCTGTTTTCTCGTCAAGAACGGATGCACTGAATGCGAGCCCGGTGGCCAAGGATGCTCGGCAAGGCAGTTTCCTCCGCCCTAGAAGTTCCCGTCGGTTTCGCAGAGATAGTGTGATTGGCAGCTATCGGGAAAGCTCGATAGTGGCAAAACGCACTTTACCGTTTTTTTGCGCTGCGTCTCATCACGAAACGGAGCTGGTCGGAGTCGGAATCTGGAGTACGGTCGGATTGCTAGAATCAGGAAAAAGACGAGCTTGTCTAGCCAGCTTGGCTTTTTATATCAATTGTTGCTCCCGCTCGTATTGTTCCGGGATCGTTCGGTTTTCCAATACGAGCGGGAGTCCTAATGTTCGGCGCGTTTCGGACGCGCTCGGGCTTCCTCGGCGGAGCCGCTGTACCTGTGAATTATTTTTTGGTTTGCTTAAAAATAATTGCGGGCGCACCGCGCCCTCATCGCTCGCAGTTACTGGGAGTCACTGCGGCGGCATCCGGCTGGGTGGAAGGCCGGGTACAATGCCCTTAATGGGGTGCATTGTTACAAATGGTAACAATGGGGTGCATTGTTACAAATGTACAAAGATAAATTTGTTAGTAAAAGCAGAGGTTGAGGGAACTCGATAACTTTTTTCCCTTTAATATACTTTAACTCATTAAGGCCCATGCCTAATACAGCCGTGATAACACCAAACTGAATACGTGATTCATAGCATAAACGAAAAAAAAATTACCTGTATTTTTTCGTTTTGCAAAATTAATTGTTTAAACAATAATTGTTTAAACAAATTGTTTAAAAATGCCCATTTTTTTTAAACTAAAAGTGCCATTCGATTCTACGTTCGAAAACAAGAAACTTTATTCTTGGTATTTTTTCGATCCGGTGCTTTGTTTATGCAAAAAATTGTTACAAACTATTTGCATGCGCAAAGTCGGCTTCCGTCCATGCTCCGGGTATTGCATAAATACGAAAACTAACCACGTGATTCTTAGCATAAGCAAAAAAAATTACCCGTATTTTTTTGTTTTGCAAAATTAATTGTTTAAACGATAATTGTTTAAACAAATTGTTTAAAAATGCTCGCTTTTAAAAAACTAAAAGTGCCATTCGATTCGGTTCAAAAACAAGAAACTTTTATTCTTGGTATTTTTTAGATCCGGTCGGTGCTTTGTTTATGCAGAAAATTGTTATAAACGGTTTGCATACGCGAAGTCGGCTTCTGCCCATGTTCTGGGTATTGCATATTGTTTTTTTATTTTCCGGTTTTGATCACTCGTCTTTCTTTCCATTTTGAGATGGTTATGTCCATAGGTCTCCTCGTCTCTCACTGAACTCGGGGTGCTTTTTTAGACTCACGGTCTAAAAAAGCACCCCGAGTTCAGTGAGAATCGAATGGCACTTTTAGCTTTAAAAAAATGGGTAGTTTTAAACAATTTGTTTAAACAATTATCGTTTAAACAATCAATTTTGTAAAATGAAAAAATACGGGTAATTTTGTTTTTCGCTTATACTATGAATCACGTGGTTAGTTTTCGTATTTATGCAATACCCAGAGCATTGGCGAAAACCGACTTTGCGCATGCAAAGCGTTTATAACAATTTTTTGCATAAACAAAGCACTGGATCGAAAAAATACCAAGAACGTAGAATCGAATGGCCCTTTTAGTTTTTTAAAAATGGGCATTTTTAAACAATTATCGTTTAAACAATCAATTTTGCAAAACGAAAAAATACGGGTAATTTTTTTTTCGCTTATGCTATGAATCACGTATTCAGTTTGGCACTATCACGGCTGTATTAGGCATGGCCCTTAATGGATTAAGATCATTAAAATCGATTTCATCATTAATATGAACATTAATTATTCATTTTGTTATTTTATTTAAAAAATGGCTTTTTCATAGGAGCCCATGCGAATTACGTACTTTTATTTTAAGAAATAAAGTTCTTTACAAAGTATCTCCAAAACCGACGGTAGTCGGTTTTCGGAAGAACACCTTCATTTTTCTATATGCGTTTCATAATAGCATATAAATATTAGAATATATTAAATAGGTTCGAATATATGTATAGAATATATTAAATAAATTTTGCGAACGCTCTCTTTTTTTCGTTGTTTAACCCTTCATGGTCACACTTCAAAAAAGTCACGCGACGGTTACTACTTTGGGTTAAAATGACCTGAACCGTTTCTGAAGTGTTATCAAATCAATAGTATTGGTTCTTCTCTCTCTCTCTCTCTCTCTCTCTCTCTCTCTCTCTCTCTCTCTCTCTCTCTCTCTCTCTCTCTTCGAAAAATTACAGTATATAATTTTATTCTTTAAGAAAATGGAACAATCGCGTTGTAATGAAAAAATCAATTTTAACTCTAAAAAAAATCATAAACATGTTAATTTTGGAAAAATGAGTATTTTTACTTAAAAAATCATAACCGTTGAATTTATTATTAGTGTATAAGGATGCAAGTAATCTACAGACTCGGATTTTTAGTGAAGGTTTTAATTTTTCTCTTATACACAGCGATCGTTCCACGCGTCTGTCGGAATCGGTCTGCCCGGAGCACTGTTCCGTCCAATCATCTCGCCGACGGCTTTAACGTGAGATTCTATGCGGACCAGTCACAATTTGGCACATCACTTTGACTTTAAAATGCGAGAAATAAACACAAATATCAGTGACATAATATTCTTGAGGCTTTCACGGGTGTTTCCTATATGACAATCTTGCGTTTCGCGGGTTTTCTCCGTGTTCAAATCCATTCTTGGAATGCCAACGTTTCGTGAACCTTGCAGTCCACTTCATCAGGGTTAGGTCGCATGGAATCCGTTACCTTTAAATAACTCTAGAGAATTCGTCGATTATTATAATATTTTTAAATACAGTTTTAGCCTAATACTCTTCAGACGATATACTTAAAAAAAATAGTATGGTTACGCGCGTTTCAATAAAGGTATTTATTTTGAAGGTAGAAGATGGTCGTCTTTTAGATGTAAAAAAGATGTAAAATTCGGGTAAAAGGCTATTTATTATTGGTTTAAATTATTATTAATGTAAAAATTATTATTATTATTAATATTGAAGACAAATATAAGTGAAATCGTAGGCATAATGGACATTCTTTTCTCATCGTTTTTTATCCTTACTCGAAGGACACAATCACAATCTTTCTTATTTTTGCAATTTAATGCAAAAATATAAATCATAAATTTTTTTAACGAAAATGACGCGTTGGTCACACTTGCTGACACTTTAACCTGAGAGAAAAACGCTTTTTGCGCGAATGGCTGCTAGACGCTTATTAACGGTCCGATTAAGCTAAACATTTTTATCCATAGTCGAAGCTTCAAACTTTCAGTCGATGACAGGTACGCGTCCTTCCAATGCCAGAAAGGTTCTGAAATCTAACATAAAAGATGATGCTCGGGTCATTTTAACCCAGAAAGACCATGAAGGGTTAAGACAATTTTAAGTAATTTTATTTAATTTGAAACTTAAAAAATATGTTAAAAAAATAAATTGTATTAACATGAAAATACAAAAAATTTATTATCTGGAAAAGAAGAGTAGCTGCAAGCTTAAATGCAGTCCTATATCATACTAAGCACGTACACTTACTCATCAAACAAAACGCGTTAGAGTTTTGATGAAGATACGGTAAAAAAGTAAAAGATTCAATATTTTTATTTTAAAATACAGTATTCAACCTTTTATTTGAATCCTTTTTGAAGTCTCTAATATATCGGGTTTACATTAGCTACGAATGTGTAAAAACACGTTTTCTTCTAATTTTTGTATAAAATTTGACGTAACAGAATATTTGTGCGGATTCGGATTCAGTACACCGAAGATTATAAGAAATTGCTTTTTTTCCCAGCCCACAAAAATCTAAAATTTATAAACTTTGGATAATTTTCTTTTATCTAATTTTTAATATAAAAAGTTAAGTAGCCATAATTGAAGAATTTTTTATTTATAAGATAAAACTTGCCAATTATGAGCTATTTTATGTTCCATGTTACTTTATTTATGCGCAAAGATTGATTTTTGTAAATATCAAATTATTGTAATGTTATTTCACAGTAATGTAAAATCACTCTGGAGGCCAGAATACGGTGCTTATATGCTTGAAGGAACTCCAGGAAAACCATATGGAGGATTATTAGCTCACTTTAACGTTGTTGAAGCTAATATGCGCTATCGAAGGCAAGAGGCAACAAAATTACTCCATCCCAACGAAGTCTTAATGTCATTAACTGTTTTCCCAAGGTAATTATGAAAAGATATCGTTGCCATAATATTTCATATTTGGTACTTTTTAAATTAGTTTTATTATTTATGTTGCAGAGTAGGAGCTCCTGACTTTACTGATCCTCCTACTCATCCTACATCTAATACTGGTGCTTCTAGGAGTTTATTTTTTCCTGACGAAGCTATATATCCTGGCCATCCACGTTTCAAGACATTGACCAGAAATATTAGAGAACGTCGTCGAGAGAAAGTTGCTATAAACATTCCTAGTATGTAACAGTATTATGAATGACATCAATTTCTTAACATATTTTAAGAATCAAATATATACTTAAAAGTTGACAGAAGAGATCATAGAGACCTTTAGTCGGAGACAAATTTCTTCGTGCTGAAATTATTGCATGAATAGCATTTTAATTGCGATATTCAAAATTAAAAAAATTATTTAAAGACTCATATCGAGCTAATTTTTTTTTAAAAAGACAAAATAAAAATTCATTCTGACGTCTCATCCGATGTGTACTATAATGCAATTGAAGTGCATATAATTTTTATTTATTCATTCGATAGCGCAACATTCCAAAGTCGGGACAGGGCCTACTTTTCGTATGTATGTCCGTGATGCACACGCAGGGTATACACAGACATATGGGAGCTACAATTTAACGTCGGTTCCGAACGGCAGTTTCGTCCTCGTCATGAGGGTGCCGTCCCATGTACGGAATCAGAACGATGGAACAGATTTCTTATTAGAGAATTGAGTTAACTAGAATTCCGTTCCGTACAAAGTTTCTCTGCCTGTCCCATGTAGTCGGAACAGAATAGTAACGGAATGGAATTTTGGTAACAAAATATATTTTACTCTTATAATTCAGTATTTTTGAGTAATCACAGTAATGTTATAGGTAAGATAATTGCACAAATTGTGCATATTACTGCTTTAGACGCATTTAAATAACGAAATATTGATTAAATCAAGCAAATTAACTTGTAATTGAGGTAATTTCCCGTTCCGTTACTATTCCGTTCCACATGAAACTGGTAAAAAAACTTCTTATGGAACGGAATTCTAGTCAACTCAAATCTCTAGTAAGAAATTCGTTTCATCGTTCTGATTCTGTGTACATGGGACGGCACTCTGGGAGGTTTTCTTGACAATAGATATTCTTAGAGGTTTGCCAGACCGCCAAAAAGAAGCTACGAGTAAAAATTTCTTGGATCTACCGCGGATCGAACCCGAGTCTCCTAGTATGATAGACTCGCGCGCTGTCCACTATGCTACGCTCGTGCTCATACATAATTTTATTTATTATAATTATTTTTTATTATGAAACTACGAAAGCACGTACAGAGCTAGATTTTGCAAATTGATTCTTGAAAAATTATAATCTTATTTATTATAATTTTTAAAAAATCAATTTAAAATCCAACTCTGTACACGCTTTCGCAATTTCATAAAAAAAAAGAAGCGAAAAAATTTTCATGATGTAGTATTACTTTTAAGAGATAAAATATCAGCACGATAAGATATCAACATGTATCTACATTGCGAATAAGGAGTATATTATTTTATTATAATATTTTGAGATCGAAATTGCAAAATTTTTATTAGCAGGCTTTGTAGCTTTATAAAATATAAGCTAAAATAAATTTCATGGCAAGATATTTCTTCTGCAAAACAATACACAGTGTGTATAAAAAATCTGGAAACGGTCGAATATCTTGAAAGCATAGCATTTTTGAGAAAAATGTTTCTAATAAAAGTTGTAGGGTTTAAAAAGATCTATTCATTGATCACATCCGTTTGATATTGAGTGGCTTCGGCCAAGATCAGGTCAAGGTTAAATCGATTTTTTTAAATGGAAAACCCTATTTTTTATGCCAGAATCTAATAGCTGGTGTCAAGAGCTTTTTAAAACACTATAATAAAGTTATTTTTCATTAAATACTTTTTCAATTATAAGGCTTGAATTTAGAATATCATTGACATTAGCACTATCAGAGGTGTCTGACCGATGACTAAAACGTTTTAAATATTGTTTAGGATCATGATCTGAATAACATTTGTCGCGATCAAGGTTATTAGAGGTTGTACCTCTTATTTTCATTTTTACGTAAAAGTGAATTTTTAGTACAAAAATGAAAATAAGAGAAATAATCTTCAATGACCTTGGCCTTGAATAAATGTTATCCAGATCATGATCCTGAACAACATTCAAGAAGTTTTAGCCATCGGTTGGACAGTGTTACTATTTGGTAATACTTACTAAATATTTGTAAATGTAATATTATTTTTTTGTTTTTAATACTAATTGTAAAATACATAAAACATCAACATATCTATCAAATGGTATGCATAAGATTTTGTTATTCTTCAGTATGCTAGATATATGTATAAAAATGTTTCCTTGAGGTGCTCATAATATCCGATCCTACCCTACATCCGATACAACAAACATGCACTTACACAGACATTACACGGTGTCAATTGTTGCCACTAAACTTGTCAACCTTGTGTCACGAATTGGTGGAGATGGAATGAGTGGTCACTCTTTCGTTTAGTCATAGAAGTTACTCTATATTGTATGGTTCAGATGTGCTGAAGATGGCTCGAAAAGAAGCCGAAACGTCTGATTTATCATAATATGTAATAAATTTCTTTATCGCACGAATTATCGCGATTAAAAGCTCTCATTAGCCCTCTCTTTGTTTTCATTTTTCACATTACACGGTGTTGCGAATAACAGAACCATTGTGCATTTTCTGTTCTTTTAGAATACTTAATAAATCCTTATTTCTGTATTACATTGCAAAACCTGGTGTATTAGTCTGAATCAATAGATTTTTAAGCCTTAAACCATAAAAAATGGACGAATCACAGTCGATTATTCTCCTCGCATTCGACTATAATTAGTCAATTTCTTACGGCTTAAGGCTTAAAACACCTATTGTAGACTTAAATTCTTATTAATACTCGTTCTTTTTCCGTCACGAGCCAAATCTTATTTCCGAAACCTTCCGATGAGCTAATCCGCGAATAAGATTTACGATTATTTCAACTGTTGTCTTAATATTGATCTTGATCACTGTTATCTTCGTACTTTTGTGTCGTTGATGAATTATATTATGAGTTATCTTCAGTTGATTATTTCAACTTCACATTAGAACCAAACAAACTTGAGGATTAATGGGTCCAGCTCCATACATAATGCAATATAATTTGTCAATCCTATGTATACTTGTACTGTAATAGATGTATTCTTTTGGATATTTATTATATTACTATCATAAACGATTTATTATTACCAGAGCCCAGATTAAAGTTCTGAAATAGTGTCAACTATAGCTAGCTCTCTCTATTACACCTTATCCCTCATCGCCGTGGTACTATCGCTCCATCACTCGCCTCGACTTCGGGTGAGTGGGGAGAATCGTGAGAAACGCGCTCGACTCGAATCAGTACATCGTACAGTGGTCAAAAATACCGATAAGCTGGCTAAAACCTCAAAATTAATCCGATCCGCATGAAAATTAGCATGGGTGATCGCTGATTACAAAATCCAACATCGAAATTACAGAAAAAAAATGGCGGATAAAATATGGCGGATAAATTTGTTAATTATATTTGCCTAAAAATGTGTACACATGTGTTTTTAAAGTCGCTGATTATAAATCCGGTTTAGAAAGTACAAAAAAACAATATGGCGGAAAAAAATTATGTTCTTAACAGGACGGCTGAAAAGTTTATAAGGTAGACGTCTAGATGGCGCCTCTTGCAAAATTCTACTTTACCATCACAAAACACCATGTTTCAATGAATACGTGTTAAAATTTGAGAGCAATCGAACGTGTTGTTTGTGAGTAATCGGTATTTGAACGACGCTACTTTTTTATTGTGAAAAAAATGGAAAAATCCGAATTTCGTGTATTGATAAAGCATTGCTTTTTGATGGAAAAAAATACAGTGCAAACCAAAGCATGGCTTGACAAACGTTATCCGGACTCTGCTCCAGCTATTGCAACTGTGGAATATTGGTTTCGTCAATTTCGAAGTGGTCGTGCGAGCACAGTTGATGCTGAGCGCAGTGGACGTCCAAAAGAGGCTGTTACGGACAAAAACATCAAAAACACCCACAAAATAATTTTAAATAATCGTAAAGTGAAGTTGAGCGAGATAGCTGAGACTCTGAAGATATCGAAAGAGCGTGCTGGACATATCGTGCATGAATATTTGGGCATGCGAAAGCTGTGTGCAAAGTGGGTGCCGCGCGAGCTCACAATCGATCAAAAACAACAACGTGTCGATGATTCTGAGCAGTGTTTGAAGCTGTTTAACCGTAATAAAGTTGAGTTTTTGCGTCGATATGTGACAATGGATGAAACATGGCTCCATCACTACACGCCAGAGTCCAATCGACAGTCAGCGGAATGGAGAGCAAGCGACGAACCGAATCCCAAGCGTGGAAAGACACAACAGTCGGCTGGCAAGGTTATGGCATCTGTGTTTTGGGATGCGCATGGAATCATTTTTATTGACTATCTCAAAAAGGGACAGACGATCAACAGCGACTATTATATAGTGTTGTTGGAGCGTTTGAAAGTTGAAATCGCTCAGAAACGGCCCCATCTGTCGAAGAAAAAAGTGCTGTTTCACCAAGACAATGCACCATGTCACAAGTCGCTGAAAACAATGGCAAAAATCCAGGAATTAGGTTTCGAACTGCTTCCCCATCCACCGTATTCTCCAGATCTGGCCCCCAGCGACTATTTTCTGTTCGCAAACCTGAAGAGAATGCTCGCTGGCAAAAAATTTAAGACCGATGATGAAGTGATTACTGAAACTGAGGCCTATTTTGAGGACAAATCGAAAGAGTACTATAAAAATGGTATCGAAAAGTTGCAAGATCGCTATAATCGCTGTATCGCCCTACAAGGCAACTATGTTGAATAATAAAATTGAATTTTGCAAAAAAAAATTTTTTTACTGTGTTACCTTATAAACTTTTCAGCCGAACTGTTATGTTCTATTCAGAATCGGATGCCGTATCATTTTTAGGTACAACAGTCTGATACGATGGAATTTATAATATACAGAAATATATACTCTTATTCCAACTGCAATCCAAGTAATGGCAGCTTTAATTCTTTGTTAAAGATCATTGCTCTTCGAGACCCAAGTAATAAAGTGTCGTCAAAACGACGTCTTTTTTGAGTCAATAATATTACCAAAGTCACATCATAAAAAACGTCAAAAACGAAGTGAGATAATGATATGCATAAGTCACAGACCGATGATGTACTTACGACAAAATGACGGCATATCTGTGACGAGAAATATACGTATCCAGGAAACAAGCTGACGATATTTCATCAAAATGACGACAAATAACGTCTTTTCTCGATGAGAACATGTACTTAGATTCCATGTGGATATAAGGTGGACTAGCATGTGAATTTTACGAGTGACAGTCCACTCAAAAATGGTACTAGAATCCACGTTGAAATCAAATCGATATTTCTAATCGATTTTTCCTACAAGATTCCTCATAATATACACCTAAAAATTATTTATATTTAAAACTAAAAAAAAATTCATTTCTATTTTAACATACAGTTGCTTCATACAAGATGTCTGTAACGATTTTGTCTGAAAT